TGGCATGGATACGAAAAAAACACCATTAATAGTTATTTGTTGTGCTGTGTTAAAACTGTTTCTCTTTTACAGGCCTTGGTTATCCTCTATGTCGCTTCGATTCTTCATTTTGCTTGAACTGAAGTAGGTAACCTATTCTACTGGCTTTTCCTTTTCCATTGAAGCCATTTTGTTTGACGATCGTAAATATGTAGGTGCAATCTTTCAAATATATGAAAACCTAGTTGAACAATCTTGGACCGCTACTGATCGTGTGGCTGGCCACTACTGATCGCGTGGCTGGCCTGGCCGCTACTGAATACTGATTGCTCTTGTTTCTATCATTCCCAGTTTCGTCTTCGCCTACAGCCTTTAGTTTCATCCAATGACTAATTGTTTCTCATTTCCCTTTATCTTTCTTCCTTTCACATTCTCTTTCGCCTTGTCGGAAAATAACAGTCATTGTCGCTCCCGATATAGGGTTCTCTATCTCTCTTTTATCGGAGTAGGAACTTTTTAAAGTTGGCTATGATTCTATCATCTTGCTCCACTGGTGCTCAATGATTATCTTAGGGTTTAAAGGTTTGATAAATGATTATATCCATATTTGTAATTGATTAATTCAAGCTCGATTTAGGCTCCGTTCATAATTAATTCTATAATTTTACATGATATTTTGCTCAAAAGAAAATAGGGGTGTACTGAAATAATAAATAATAAAAAAGAATACAAAAAATATTTAGATAAGGTCATGTATATGTACATCTCTCTCTTAAAAGGGTAAGTTCCTTAGACCATTTAACCATAATTTATTTTTGGGTAAACTACTTAAATGACTATTTGATTATGTCTTGGTGTTGATATGACCATTATACTTTCAATTTTAACAATATGATCACATAAATATTTAAATGGTTTTAATGTTTTACATGTTACAAATAAATGACATAGATGTGTTGTTATTTATTAATAACAAAAAATAGCATTCCAAAACATTCCATTTAACTACTAATTTGGAGTGATAATAAGGGTAGTATTTGTTCATAATCGTTTTTAATCATTGACATAGTACACATATATTACAGATGCAACTACTTAAACCCAATATTATAAGAAAAAATAACATTCCATTTAACTACTAAGACTGCTTGATGGGTCACTTATATACCTATTTTCAGTTAATTTTTCGGTCCAACTTACATGAATGATTGAAAGGCTTCATACCCGTTATCAAATTTTATGCTCTTACATAATAGACGTTTATTCAAGAGTTAAATATTTTTTTATTAATCTAATGCGATTACAAATAGTATATGTTTTAAAAAAATTCAATGAAAGCTCAAACACCTTTGTAATTTTTGGTGCTCAAACCTTTACTTCTATAGATAATAATCACCCCTTTAACCATTAAGGTAGCTTAGTTCGTACAAGAGTTAAATCATTTGACAAGTCTGATATGAGATGAAGTAAGATGACTTAGGTTGTTATAATTTATAAAACAAAAAAAAATTACGAATATTTTTAATTTCTCGAATTACAAAGTGTGAACTGCGAAAAAATATTTAAAGTTTATAGATAATTGTATAAGATGCCTCTAAATTATGATATTCATTCTAAATTGATCATTAAACTTTAAAATATTTTATTTCAATTCCTAAACTCTAACCATTATAAAGTAGTCCCTAAGATTTAAAACATCCTGTATCGATCCTCAAACTATTAGTATTATCCCATTTTAATCATTCTGTTAACTTTTCGTTAGCTTTACTAGTTACAAATAATAATCTATTTTTGAAGACCCTAGAAATTTAATTCTTGATGTTATAAAAAAAGGTATCGCGATCTTAACAAAAATTAAATTTTTAGAAAGCCATGTGTTCAATTTTCAGTACTTTTAGAAATAAATTAAATATTTTAGGAAGTTACGAGTTCAATTATTAGGATCTTCAAAAACTAGTAGAGTTAACGAGACATTAACATAAGGATCAAAATGAAATGATACAAATAATTTAAGATTTGATATAGAATATTTCAAAGCTTTGGGATAATTTAGAGTATGAATCTTAATTTAAGGGGTGATATAAAATATTCTAAAATGTAAGAACCAATTTACGATTGGGGTCATAATTTTAGGACATTATGTGCAATTAACTCTAAAGTTTAAATAGTGTGTATATATAAAGTAGATCTTAATTCAACATTTTAAAATATTTAAAAATTTCGAAATACAAAGGCTTGATATAGTCAACAACAACCCAACTATCATGAATAAATAAAACCACAAATATTTCAAATAAAAAAAATTAAATATTCCCCATAAATTTGAAGGTAAACTATACATTTAGTAGTTAAATTATTATTTTTATTTTATTTTGGTACCTAAACTTTATAATTTTTTAAAGTCATACTAAACGTTTAGTTTATATTTCATTTTGGTACCCTGCCATTAAAAACTTAACAGTGATGTTGACGTATCACCATAAAATAATACTATGTTATTATTGAAAAAATGTCACTTCATTTTTAACGATAGATATCAAATTGAAATAAAAAATAAACATTAGGTAAGATTTAAAAAAAATGAAAGTTTAGGTAATAAAACAAAAAGGTAATAGTTTATATATTAAACGTATAATTTATCCTAAAATTAAAGAAAGACGCTTGTAGTTGAATGCCAACCAATTTTTCATGCTATCAGGGCCGATCCTGACATTTTAAGGGTCATAGGCAAAATAAGAGATAAGGGCCCTTAAAAAATAACTTAAAATTCAAGAATAAATTTTGGCCAATAATAAGTGAACAGTGCCTTAAGTTTTAAAAAACAATGCAATCAAACAAAATTTTATTTAATCCTAATTATTCTAAAATAAATTAAGGCTTTTTCTAGCTTACGGTGTCAAATTATGAAAATTAAAGAATCTAGGGGTTCAAACCTAAAAATGTAGGCTCAAATATTAATTCTTTTTTATTTTAATTAATTATTGAATCGAATAACCGAAGTGGTCCCTCGAGCGTTTACGCGAGAGCCAACTCGAATTATCCCCTAAATTTAAAGACCAGTTTGAAATCTAAGCTAAAATGGAAGCTCTATTTAACTTATTTAATTATGTCAATATCAAAAATCGAATCGAAGTTCGGGGACATAATTGCATAAATGTTAAATTACTATGCTAAAATTAAACATGAAAATGGTTAAATTAAAATAAATAAAAAATTAAAGCTTAATTCGAAATAAAATAGAAGCGAATAGACTATTGACTAAAATACAAAACACGCACAACCTAAGGACCTAAACGAAATTAACCCAAAAAAATTAAAATCAGGCATAAAAAATGGAAAAATTACAAAACAACCTACATGACTAACATGTAAAAATATAGAATCCTAATGTCTAAACAACGAAAATTAAAGAAATTAACACTAGGACTAAAATTAAACGCACTTAAAATAAATAGACATAATTATAAACATGCAAACCGTGTAAAAGAATATGCGTAATACCGAAAATTGCTTCTTTCGTATTGCTCAGAAAAAATTGAGAGGAAAAACTCCCTTGATTACATTGACTGTGTAAAAGAAATGAGATGGGGAACCCTGTTTTTCTCCACACTTACAATCTTTTTTTTTTTGTTCTCTCCTCCTCCCTACCCCTGCTTTTGGTTATGTTTGTATCTCCAGTTTTTGCTCTCGTTTTTTGCTTTCCGACCTTGTTGATGAGCCTCTTTTTCTTTCTGTGTTTTCTGTTTTTTGGTCGAGAGCTCCCATTTAATATTGTTCTCCTTTGCTGTCCATAATACGCTGCCTCCACCTTAATTGTTTACTGATGGAATCTCTTTTATTTTACAAGGCATGGGTGTAGCATGAGTGGGTAATTAGTGGAGCATGGACAACAGTTGGGATATTAAAGAAATAGACAAATGATGGTGCAGGGTATGACCTCATTTTAAAAAAAAAATGATAGTGTTTAAATGAAACAAGATAAAAAGTTGAGAAGAATGTGACCCCTCCCAGATAGATTAAGAATCATGCTTTTCCTAGATTTTTTTTATGTGATTTTGTTGTTTGCGAAGTTAAAAAAATATTAGTGTTTAAATGAAACAAGATAAAAAGTTGAGAAGAATGTGACCCCTGCCTGCTATCATTTGAAATCATACATGGTGGATATGGTTAGATACAAACAGAGAATCATACAAATTTCATTAAAATAGAGATCAAAATCAAATATATTTTTTTGGCTTTTTTCACAGACAAAGAAACCAAGAACAAAGAATATGAACTCCCCAACAAAAGAATGCGGGAACAAAATATTCTCTTCTCTCTATTTTCCCCCATTAATTTCCCTAATATTTTCATTTGAATAATCCCATTTTTTTCTACTTGCTTTCCTTCCCATTTCAATCTTTCCGTTGATTTCGGTAGCTTCAGATTATTTTGTTTGAAAACCCCATTAGAATATGCCCTTTCTCCTTACATTTTCTTCTGCCATTGTTGCTACCAAATCAAACATTTACAGATATGCATATATATTCCATGCTACCGTTTTTTGATCTTTTCGTTTTCCCTTCTTTTTAAAGAAGCTGAAAGAGTGAAATTCAGTTCACAGCTGAGCTTCTAGAGTGTTTGTTGATTATTTATTCGGGTCGGGTTGGCGCCAAAAAAGCAAAAAAGGAGGAAAAACTTGGGGAGGGGGGGTCTTTGTGTTTTTCATCACATGATAAATAACCATTGATGGGTTGTGTGAGTTCGAAGCAGACGGTTTCGGTGACGCCTGCTTTCGACCACTCCGGATCTTTACGTGACAATGCAGGTGCCGCATGTAACTCCGGGGCCGATTCGGGTCGGTATCGGGTCGTGTTATCGGAGCTCGGGAAGAAGCGGAGCAGCGGCAGTAAGACGAAAAAAAGAGTAGTTATAATGGGGGTATGAGTGATTTGGGTAGTGCGTACGGACTGAGTGGGAGCGACTTGGGTGAGTCGGGTCGGGCGAGTTTGAGGTTGGGGAATTTACAGAAGTACATATAGGGTGAACACGTGGCAGCCGAGTGGCCTGCTTGGCTCAGTGCCGTCGCCGGTGAAGCTATCCACGGTTGGGTTCCACTCAAAGCTGACTCTTATCAGAAGCTTGAGAAGGTTTGGATTTTCTTCTTCCTTTTTATTTCGAATTTTCCATTAAATTTTGTCAGAAAATTGTTTGGCTTTTTATAATTATCATTATTTTCCATTTAAATTCTTTTATTTAGTTATTTTCTTGATGCCTATAGCACTGTAGTTTCACTTTCGTGAAAACTACCATTATTTACAAATATCTCTTGCACTTTGGAAAAATCAAAGCTTACATTACACTCTAAGTGGAAGCGATTTCATAGGGATCAAATCCGGACAATTAGGGGTGAGTATCCGATCGAGCTGAGTTGAATGTGTGAAGTTCAAGTTGAGTCATTTTCTTAAACCGAATCGAATTTTGCTCACCCTATAGACAACATGCCGACACTTGAACTCACAGTACAAGTTTTCACTAGACCAGTAGCTTGTTGGCATATCTATGTCCATAGTTACATAAATCGCTCAATAGCCCACGATCTACGTACTGTACTCTGCGATCTAAAATGTGGTACGAATGCTTTCCAGGTCGTTCCAAAATCGTCGGAGACGAAAAAAGTTGAAGCTTTCTTCGTAGATCTACTTTGATAGACCCATTTTTAGGAGAAACTAACATTGGATCTGAAACAAGGGTGAGGAAACGCTTCGAGTAACATCTCTCTTTTAATTCCGATACCGGCGTACGGTGACGCCGTCGATGACGCGACGGAAAACCCACCAAAATCTAGGCGCCGATTGTATCTCCCTCTCTTTCTCTCTCTCAAAACTGAGAAATGAAATAAAATGAAAATAAGCTTGTTTTGGCTTATATATATATATATTAAGCAAAACGCAATCGTTTTGGTTTTTCTTCATTTTCGTGTTTCTGGTTAAGGGTAAATATCTGTTTAAATCCTTACTTTTTTATGTGTTATTTAAGTTATTAAGGAAGTTTTAATTGCTTTTATTTTATTCCTACTATTTCTAGTTACTTATAAAATTTGATGTAGAAAAATAAAATAACAACCTAAGAAACGATAATGAGTCTATCCCTCGTACCGAATTTTAGGGACCTAACGAATTGCGATCCCGTAAGGAAAATAGACTGAGGGCGACATAGCTTTTAACATTTAAGGTACATTTAGAGAATCACAACTTATTAGTCTTGTCCGCATATATACTAATCGAATATATACAAGTGTGAGTGCGGCATGGTTTATTCATTTATTTCCATTTTTTTTCGATCTTCAAATTGTTCAACATGGTCTTGATATTCCACACCATTCCTGATATTTGATCTAATGATCTTGTACCATTTCAACTGGTTAAACGGATAGGACAAGGTACGTATAGCACTGTTTTCCGAGCTCGAGATATTGAGAGTGGAAGGATAGTTGCACTAAAGAAGGTGCGGTTCGACAATTTTGAGCCTGAGTGTCCGATTCATGGCAAGGGAGATACTGATTCTTCGAAGGCTTGACCATCCAAACATCATAAAATTGGATGGGATAGTTACTTCCCGAATGTCGTGTAGCTTATACCTTGTGTTTGAGTACATGGAACATGATATCACTGGACTTTTGTCTTGTCCTGACATTAAGTTCAGCGAGCCACAGGTTTGTTCCCCTTGCCTCTGTGTCTAAGGTCAGTCTAATGTTCTACAAAGGCATGTATATTGAAGACATATTAATTATATGTTTTTCTTCTCCACATATACATTTAGCTCATTATATTGGATTGAATCAATAGTCCTTGGAATGCAAATTGCAGTATATACGTATTCGGAATACAAAAACCTGAATGTTTTTTCCCCAGAAACTCAAAGATGAATGCATTATAACGTGAGAAAACTAGTGATACATTCACATGCCTTAAATGGATAGAAAGATGCATCTTTAACAATGAAAATGATTTTGTTTTGTAGATTAAATGCTATATGAAGCAGTTGTTATCTGGACTTGACCACTGCCATTCACGGGGTATAATTCACCGGGACATTAAAGGATCAAATCTCCTTGTAAATAATGAAGGAATCCTAAAAATGGCTGATTTTGGTTTGCCGAAGTTCTATGGTTCTGGGTGCAGGCAACCATTAACAAGTCGTGTTGTAACCTTATGGCATCGTCCCCCAGAACTTTTGTTGGGTTCTACAGATTATACTGCAGCTGTGGATCTTTGGAGTGTTGGCTGTGTATTCTCTGAACTTCTCCTCAGGAAACCTATCCTTCAAGGCAGAACAGAGGTAAGCACCTTGCTAAAGTACACCTTTTATGGGATATTTGTCTTAGTGGTTTAAATTTCGAATCTCAACAAAGAATATTTATGGATCTTTTAAAAAGAAAACAAAGATCGGTTTCATTGGAAATGACTTGTATTACTGAGAATGAGATGAGCCTCTAGAGTAATTAATTCCTCGTATACAATGAATCAGTTTTGCTGCCGAAAGACAACTCTGGAAATGCCAGTCTTATGTATTTGTTTATATAGTATTTCTTTTGAGATTGTTTCCTGGTGCTACTGTACCAATCTTTGTAGTTTAATTCAAAAATTCTATACAAGAGTGCTTTATCTGATGACCATTGCTTCACTTCAATTGCTTCACTTCAATTGCTTCGTTGTTTACTGGTGGTCCTTGAGATGATTTCTTGTTTATGGTGTTCTTGTACAGGTTGAACAATTGCATAAGATTTTCAAGCTCTGTGGATCCCCACCAGATGATTACTGGAAAAAAGCCAGATTACCTCATGCAACTATATTCAAGCCACAACAACCTTATGATAGTAGTCTCCGGGACACTTTTAAAGATTTACCGGTTACTGCTGTGAACCTAATAGAAACTTTGCTTTCAGTGGAGCCATACAAGCGTGACACTGCTTCCTCGGCTCTTGCTTCAGAGGTAATTATGCCTGGCACCATGATCATTTCTCATATCACAAACATCTAACGTGATATTAATTGACTTTAGGTGTAGCACCCCCAACTTGAATTGTATGCTACCACAAATACCAAATTTAATTAAAAGCTTTAGACTAACTAAAACATCCTATATGTAGGCCCTGTGCTAACCACCGAAACAAAGGGCCTCGTACGACATAGACAAGAAATCTTGTGGGAATAAATAACCGATTATTTTAACAAATCGGGGAACACTGAAGCAGGGATACATGATAACCCCATTTGTGTCTATGCTGCTACTTTGACTGACATGGACACTAGACGTATTATGGTGATTTCAGTTCTAGCAGTAGATGGTTTCTGGTATGTAATGGATGGAGAATTTGCACTTCTTGTTATTGTTAAGCAGCAGTGGATCGTTTAGGCTTACTTCTGTTTAAAAAATGTGTCTCCACTGTTCTTATGTTAACATTGTGTAGCATTAATCCGTAGTGTAGCAACAAACAACCCGAACTCTGATACCATGTTAAGGATCCATTATAAATTGTATAAGGCATATGTAGAGAGGGTATTGTAAAGGCTGAACTGAACAAACTAAACTAATGTGAAAAAGACCTATTAAAATCTTTAATAAACTCCGCATGTGAAGTAGTTTTGTAACACCCCCAACCCATACCCGACCCGGATATGAGTCAGAGATACTACATTGACTTTAAAACACCCTCTTAATAAATAATAGTAAAATATTGGGACTTGTATTAAGAAAATACAATAATATACATACTGTAATATAAGTTTACAAAAATATTCAGAGCATACACAACTTAACTCTTTAATTACATGCCAACTGCTATTTACATAACAAAATAACCTATTGATAAGTTGCTTCTGATCTGATGGTTGCAGGAGTAATACTGTCAAGCTGCTTCACCTGTCTCTTCTATTTTCCTCGGATCCTACGTGTGAAACACTCACACGCTAAGTCATCGACTTAGTGAGGCAACAATAATAAGGCAATGTATTGTAATGAATATGTCAGGATCATATGAGATGAGATGCAAACATGTAACTAATCAATGTAGTATACTTTAACAATATCCATACCTGTAAGCGTATGACTGTAACATTCATTATTCAGTATTAATAAGTTTATTGGCCCATGATAGCATATTGAGAACCTAAGGTATTTGAGTAATGTGAGGTTGTGCACTATGCTGTCACCACAGCTCGTATAAATGCACCGAAGTGCCCGTAGAATTGCACCGAAGTGCCCGTAGAATTGCACCGAAGTGCCCGTAGAATTTTGTCCATAAGGACCACGTAGAATCCTTTAAGAATCATATACATATACTATGGATCAAGTATGTGTCTTTCAAGACTTCACACATGTTCCAAAGGATATACATATGTCCTAAAGAACCGAGTATACCCTCTACCCTTGGCATGCCAACTATACCTATAGTTCTCATCTACATAACATGGGCTTATACATTTCCCGTAGTTCATATCGCGTAGACATAGTATTTCCATACCTTTAACACATAGGCATATCATTTACATACTTTTATCACATAGTGCATAGAACTTTTCTGCATATTCATGTCATGTAATACATATAAGATGAATTCATGTCATGTAATACATTTAATACAAATTCATGTCATGTATCATAATATGGAATGTAATCATGTGTCAAAATATGGAATCTAGACTTATCACAAGTCTAGAACTGATATACTACTGTATTCATGCTATGCATATGCACTCACCTATACTTCTTTGCCTTTTCCTCGATCGATCCTACTTGTAGATTGTTCCCGAACTCGAGTAGGCTCGGTATCTACATAAACATAATTTTTTAAGATGATCATCAGACGTCTGTGTCTTGAAATTAAGCTTTAATAGCTTACTAATTAAAAGAATTAATAGCTTAGTCTTGCTTTCTTTTCTTTCTTCTTCTTTTTCTCATGGGGGAATCGGTTCCCCCCCTGGGGTATCGATTCCCCTTAAGCAATCTGGAATTCATATACGATGAGGGGGTATCGGTTCCCCCTGGGGGTACCGATTCCCCTCTAGCATTCTGGAAATCATATTCGTTGAAGGGGTATCGGTTCCCCTTGAATGGGTACCGATTCCCCTAACCCAGAAATCCTATTTTTAGCCCGAAAATCATCTAATTTCAACTCAAACATACATATTTCAATCCCTTTACTACTCTTAGCTCTCATACACTTACTTAAACTAATTATTATCCATTAAATACCTCTAAAACTTAGAAATCTAATTCTCCATGTAGCATTTAAGAATCCAACTCAAATTCCAATATGTTCTAATTTGAATTCTAACCCCTCATACTCTTAATTAGCTTATTGACAAGTCAAAATTCTGATTCAAACATCAAAACCTCATCCATATCAAAATCTCATCTATAAACTCATTTTCCAAATCTATCTCTAAAACCCTAATCTTGTTGTTTTAATGTCATATAAGCTTTCCTTTAGCTTATATAACATCCAAGCTTTCATTTCCAATCATAAAACATCAAAGAAACTATCAAGTTCAGATTCTTACCTTAAATGCAAGCCCAACGTTGAGAGAAGGAAGAGAAGAAAATGAGGAAGAAGGGAAAGAAATGGGAGGTTCTGGAATACACGTGTTCTCATATACCCATAGCATTTATTTAATTAAAAATTCCCCTTGCAAATGACATTTGGTCCTCACCTTAATCTCATATTTACCAACCTTTATTTTTAAACTATATAATTGTTCTACTTTAATCACCAAATGTTGAAACTTTGCAAATTAATCACTAACCCGGCATGGAGGATGTTACAAATCTCTCCCCCTTAAGAAAATTCGTCCTCGAATTTTCATTGCACGAACAAATGAGGGTATTGATGTCGCATATCCTCTTCACGCTCCCACGGTGCTTCTTCTACTCTGTGATTCCTCCACAACACTTTGACCAAAGGAATGGTCTTGTTCCTCAATTGCTTAACTTCATGGGCTAAAATTTGAATCGGTTCTTCCTCATAAGTCAAGTCAGGACGAACTCAATCTCTTCTGGTGTCACGATATGAGAAGGGTCAGATCTATATCTTCGAAGCATTGAAACGTGAAAAACATCATGTATCTTTTCCATCTCAGGGGGTAAAACTAGCTGATATGCTACAGGTCCTACTCTCTTTACAATCTCATATGGTCCAATAAACCGAGGACTCAATTTTCCTTTCCGACCAAATCTCAACACCTTCTTCCATGGAGACACTTTTAAAAACACCTTATCTCCAACTTGAAATTCAATTTCTTTCCTTTTAAGATCAGAATAGGACTTTTGCCGATCAGAGGCCACTTTGAGGTTATGCTGAATTTCTCGAACTTTTTGTTCTACATCTTGAATTAAATCCGGACCAAGAACACTTCGGTCTTTGAGTTCATACCAATTTAATGGAGTACGACATTTTCTTCCATATAATGCTTCATAGGGAGCCATCTTGATACTCGAATGATAACTATTGTTGTAAGCGAACTCTGCCAGCGGTAAATACTTTTCCCATGATCCTTTAAATTCCATTACGCACGCTCTCAACATGTCTTCCAATATCTGAATAGTTCTCTCTGATTGCCCATCAGTCTGAGGATGAAAAGCCGTACTAAAGTTTAAACGAGTCCCCAACGCTCCATGCAAAGATTTCCAGAATCTAGAAGTGAATCGAGGGTCCCGATCAGAGACTATGGAAACATGTACTCCATGCAATCTAATAACTTCTCTAATATACAGCTCTGCATACTTTTCCATAGAGAAATCCGTTCTAACAGGGAGGAAATGCGCTGACTTAGTTAATCGATCAACAATTACCCAGATTGATTCTCTTTGTTCGGAGTCAAGGGTAACCCCGAAACAAAATCCATCGTAACATTTTCCCACTTCCATTGAGGAATTAAAAGCGGTTGCAATAATCCTGATGGAACTTGATGTTCGGCTTTGACTTGTTGACATATCAAACATTTAGACACAAATTCTGTGATGCTTCGCTTCATCCCTGACCACCAAAATCGATCCTTCAAATCCATATACATCTTGGTTCCACCCGGGTGCATCGTTAACGGACTGCAATGAGCCTCTGTTAATATTTCTTTCTTCAAGTCTTCATTGTCAGGTATTACAATTCTTCCTTTACAATATATATTTCCATCTGACTTAATCTCAAAGTCTTTAATCTCTTGATTCTTTACTTGCTCAATTCTTTTCAAACACATTTCATCTTTACCTTGCAATTCTCCTATTCGTTCCAACCATGCTGGTTTAAGGGTTAATTCTGCACAAAGACCACCGTCTCCCGTTAAAGATAATCTTGCATCCATAGCTCGTAAAGCTGCAAACGTCTTTCTACTCAGAGCATCTGCGACCACATTAGCCTTTCCGGGATGATAGTCAATTATCACATCGTAGTCCTTTAAGAACTCTACCCATCTACGTTGCCTCAAATTCAATTCTTTTTGAGTCATCAGGTACTTCAGGCTCTTATGATCCGTATATAAGTAACAACGTTCCCCATAAAGATAATGACGCCAAATCCTGAGAGCGAATACTACCGCAGCCATTTCTAAATCATGTGTGGGGTAATTCCTTTCATGTGTTTTCAACTGTCTCGATGCGTACGCTACCACTTTTCCTTCTTGCATTAGTACACACCCCAACCCGTTATGGGATGCGTCACTGTATACTACAAAATTCTTGCCAAATTCCGGTTGAACCAATATCGGAGTTTCCGTCAGAATTCTCTTTAAAGCTTCGAAACTTTCTTGACATTCGGAAGTCCAAACAAATGGTACGTTCTTTCTCATTAGCTTTGTTAGAGCAGCAGCACAATCATCGAAAAATTCTTAACGAATCTTCGATAGTAACCGGCAAGTCCCAGAAAACTCCGAACTTCAGACACATTCTTAGGAACTTCCCAATCCATTATAGCTTTAACTTTCTGAGGGTCTACTCTAATCCCAACTGCCGAGATCACATGCCCCAGGAAAATTACTTCCCTTAACCAGAACTCACATTTGGACAATTTGGCATACAACTTTTATCTTTTAAAATTTGCAAGACGATCTTCAGATGTGTGCTATGCTCTTCATGGGATTTCGAGTACACCAGTATGTCATCAATAAAGACAACAACAAACTGGTCCAAGTAGGGCTGAAAAATCCTGTTCATAAGATCCATGAAAGCAGCAGGTGCATTCGTTACTCCGAATGGCATTACTATGAATTCATAATGACCATATCTCGTTCTGAAAGCTGTCTTCGGAGTATCTTTCTCCTGGATCTTCAATTGATGATAACCCGAACGTAGATCGATCTTTGAAAATACCGAAGCTCCTTTTAGTTGATCAAACAAATCATCAATGCGCGGAAGGGGATACTTGTTCTTGATGGTCACCTTATTGAGCTGTCGATAGTCAATGCAAAGACGCATTGATCCATCCTTCTTTTTAACAAATAACACCGGAGCTCCCCAAGGCGATACACTTGGTTGGATAAATCCCTTCTCTAGCAATTCTTGTAATTGATGCTTTAACTCTTGCAATTCTTTCGGAGCCATTCGATAAGGTGCCATTGCAATCGGAGCTGTTCCCGGCATTATTTCTATTTGGAATTCTACCTCTCTATCCGGAGGTAATCCTGGCAATTCAGCAGGAAAAACATCAGGGAACTCTCGAACTATTGGAATTTCCTCTAACTTTTTCTCTTGAGCTCTTGAATCAATCACATTTGCCAGAAAACCCTGACATCCTTGTAGCAATAATTTCTTGGCAGACATCATTGATATTACATTGCTAACGGATTAAACTTTTCACTGTTCACACTTATCTCTATTCCGTCTGGACTTTTCAGAGTTACCTTTTTCAATCTGCAACTAACATCTCCATAATACCGAAACAACCGATCCATTCCCAGAATCACTTCAAACTCGTCAAAGGGTAATTCCATCAGATTAGCAGGGAATTCAATTCCCTGAATCTTTATGGGACACCCCTTACAAACTTTATTCACCCGGGCACTCTGGCCTAACGGAGTTGTTACTATATTCTCATTACTCGTAGCTTCTAAGGGAATCCCCAACTCCTTTACTAACTTACTTGTAATATAAGAATAATTAGAACCCGGATCAATCAGTACCAATACCAATTTATCATACAACTGAAAGTACCTGCTATAATATCAGGGTCATCACGGTCTTCACTTGTCTTTAGGTTGTATACTCGAGCAGTGGATCGAACTTCAGGTTGAGCAGAGAATTCAGACGGGTTCCTTCCTCTGCCTCTTCCTCGGCCTCTTTGTGAAAAGAACCAGCTCTTCCAGATGGTGCCGGCTCCCCAACCATCAAGGGACAGTCCCGGACAAAATGTCCAGCATCCCGCATCGAAAACAAGTCCCAGCTGCCATACGACACTCCCCATAATGATTTTTCCCGCAGTGCTCACAATGTTTCCTTTGACCCGGAGTAGATCTCCCAGCACCAGATTCTACTGACTGCGTCTGTCTAGGTCTTGCCTGACTTGCTCCCCTAGCAGACGATGCAACTGATTCTGATCTAGTTTGTGATCGAAATCCCGAGTCTCTTCCCCTTTTTGTTGGTGTTGAACCAGAATAAGTAGTCGTCCTCTTTGATGTCTGAACCCTTGAGTCCCCAAATCTTTCATTCTGAGCCCTTTCAAGAGCTTTTGCACGATTGATCACCTCCTGGAACGAGGACAAGTTTAATACTATCAACATTTCCTTAAGCCTAGGGCGCAAGCCCTCCACGAACCATTCGCAAGCATCTTTCTCAGTAGGCACAAGCTCGGCTACAAACCTGCTCAGCTTATTAAACTCACATTCGTACTCATACACAGAGCGGCTCATCTGCTTCAAACTCATAAATTCCTGCTTCATTTGGCGGATAAACTGATCCCCAATGTACTTGCTTTTAAATTCTTCTAAAAACAAAGACCAAGTCAACTGGTCGGTTGACATCCTCATGGTGACATTCGTCCACCATATCCTCGCCTGACCCCTTAGTAAAGACACAGCTCCATCTAATTTCTCCACTTCGGAACAGTGGAGACCATCTAACATGATTTTCAAATCATTCAACCAAAGATCCGCTGACACCGGACCTTCATCAGCTTCTCCCTTAAACTCGGGAGCTCCTAAACTTCTCAATTCTTTTGCTAGATTAATTCGTGGAGTTAGTGGAGCAGGAGGTTGAAGACGCGTCAGAATAGCGTCTAACGTTCTGAAGAACGTATCTTGATCTTGCACAGGCACTCCTTGAGATGCCTGTTCTTCACCTTGCCTGGCCAGGGCAGGTGAATTACTGCTTTCAGCATGTCTATCTTCTCCCGCTTCACTTCGGGAGCTATTATGTCCGGACATCTAATAAGAATATACACATTGTTCTATTAGCAAAACAGCATACTCATACTATACCAGATCAGAAGTTATCACCATTTGTTGGCATGTATTCCATTTAAAGACTCCATAGACTCTGGTTTATGCCTAGAATCGGCTAAACCATAGCTCTGATACCATTAAATGTAACACCCCCAACCCATACCCGACTCGGATATAAGTCAGAGATACTACATTGACTTTAAAACACCCTCTTAATAATAATAGTAAAATATTGGGACTTGTATTAAGAAATACAATAATACATACTGTAATATAAGTTTACAAAAATATTCAGAGCATACACAACTTAACTCTTTAATACATGCCAACTGCTATTTACATAACAAAAACCTACTGATAAGTTGCTTCTGATCTGATGGTTGCAGGAGTAATACTGTCAAGCTGCTTCACCTGTCTCTTCTATTTTCCTCGGATCCTACGTGTGAAACACTCACACGCTAAGTCATCGACTTAGTGAGGCAACAATAATAAGGCAATGTATTGTAATGAATATGTCAGGATCATATGAGATGAGATGCAAACATGTAACTAATCAATGTAGTATACTTTAACAATATCCATACCTGTAAGCGTATGACTGTAACATTCATTTCAGTATTAATAAGTTTATTGGCCCATGATAGCATATTGAGAACCTAAGGTATTTGAGTAATGTGAGGTTGTGCACTATGCTGTCACCACAGCTCGTATAAATGCACCGAAGTGCCCGTAGAATTGCACCGAAGTGCCCGTAGAATTGCACCGAAGTGCCCGTAGAATTTTGTCCATAAGGACCACGTAGAATCCTTTAAGATCATATACATAACTATGGATCAAGTATGTGTCTTTCAAGACTTCACACAGGTTCCAAAGGATATACATATGTCCTAAAGAACCGAGTATACCCTCTACCCTTGGCATGCCAACTATACCTATAGTTCTCATCTACAACATGGGCTTATACATTTCCCGTAGTTCATATCGCGTAGACATAGTATTTCCATACCTTTAACACATAGGCATATCATTTACATACTTTTATCACATAGTGCATAGAACTTTTCTGCATATTCATGTCATGTAATACATATAAGATGAATTCATGTCATGTAATACATTTAATACAAATTCATGTCATGTATCATAATATGGAATGTAATCATGTGTCAAAATATGGAATCTAGACTTATCACAAGTCTAGAACTGAATATACTACTGTATTCATGCTATGCATGCACTCACCTATACTTCTTTGCCTTTCCTCGATCGATCCTACTTGTAGATTGTTCCCGAACTCGAGTAGGCTCGGTATCTACATAAACATAATTTTTTTAAGATGATCATCAGACGTCTGTGTCTTGAAATTAAGCTTTAATAGCTTACTAATTAAAAGAATTAATAGCTTAGTCTTGCTTTCTTTTCTTTCTTCTTCTTTTCTCATGGGGGAATCGGTTCCCCCCCTGGGGTATCGATCCCTTAAGCAATCTGGAATTCATATACGATGAGGGGGTATCGGTTCCCCCCTGGGGGTACCGATTCCCCTCTAGCATTCTGGAAATCATATTCGTTGAAGGGTATCGGTTCCCCTTGAATGGGTACCGATTCCCTAACCAGAAATCCTATTTTAGCCCGAAATCATCTAATTCAACTCAAACATACATATTTCAATCCCTTTACTACTCTTAGCTCTCATACACTTAAACTAATTATTATCCATTAAATACCTCTAAAACTTAGAAATCTAATTCTCCATGTAGCATTTAAGAATCCAACTCAAATTCCAATATGTTCTAATTTGAATTCTAACCCCTCATACTTCTTAATTAGCTTATTGACAAGTCAAAATTCTGATTCAAACATCAAAACCTCATCCATATCAAATCTCATCTATAAACTCATTTTCCAAATCTATCTCTAAAACCCTAATCTTGTTGTTTAATGTCATATAAGCTTTCCTTTAGCTTATATAACATCCAAGCTTTCATTTCCAATCATAAAACATCAAAGAAACTATCAAGTTCAGATTCTTACCTTAAATGCAAGCCCAACGTTGAGAGAAGGAAGAGAAGAAAATGAGGAAGAAGGGAGAAGAAATGGGAGGTTCTGGAATACACGTGTTCTCATATACCCCATAGCATTTTATTTAATTAAAATTCCCCTTGCAAATGACCATTTGGTCCTCACCTTAATCTCATTTACCAACCTTTTTTTAAACTATATAATTGTTCTACTTTAATCACCAAATGTTGAAACTTTGCAAATTAATCACTAACCCGGCATGGAGGATGTTACAAGTTTGTTATGAAATTGTCTCATTTTTGTTGTTCTTAATATATCAGTTATACGCATGATTGTGCAGATCATATACTTTGAATTAGCTTAATTTCCATCAAGTGCAATATTCTGATTCTTATTTTACAATTTATAGTATTTCATGACAAAGCCTTACGCATTTGATCCATCAAGCTTGCCAGTATATCCACATAACAAAGAGTTAGATGCAAAACATCGTGAAGAGGCAAGGAGGTAAGAACTTTCTGAAAAATGGCTGAATGAAGACGATAACTCGGATAGCTTTCTGGAATCCGGAACCTTGTCAAGTCCATCTGCATCAAACTGTTGCATTCCACTCAATATTTTCGCAAATTTTTTATTCTTCCCCCCCCCCCCCCCTTTGGCTAGATGCCCTGTCAAAATTAGATATATTTTGCTAGGTATCATATCAGCTTAATTGATGTTTGTGTACATGATCTTTTTCTTCCGAGGTTTTAGAGAATATGTAGTAAACTAATGCATGATATAATACTTGACACTAATTATCATATGCAAATTTCGCTACTTAAAACTGTTCGACATCATCGTCAATGAATTCTCAGGAAAAAGATAAGTAGAATTGTGGGCCTGAAACAGAAAGCCAATAAGAAAACCCCATAGCATAAGTAAATTGGCTCCTTTCGAGGTCTGGTATCTCTCTCTCTTCCTCGTGCCCCTATATTTACATTTAAGGTTACTCGGGAAACTAATATTCCGTACAGCTTTCACATGCAGGATGTTGCTGCACAAGCTCAAGTTATCTGGAAATTAATGGTAACCACGTGCACAAGTCAAAGCAAAGAAATGCTATGATCAGTGAGGGAGTGACAAAGCCATCTACCGATGCAGTCGAAGAAGCTGCTCATATAAGCATGCATCCCAAGGTGATATTCCTTTCACTGGTCAATTACAAGTTTCTAGATCGAGTGGCTTTTCATGGGTCAAAAGACGAAGACGATGCATCCATAATATCACACAGCAGATCCATATCAAGAGGTCACCTTTAAATTCTTTTGAACATTCTGCTCAGTTACATACACAAAATCATTGCGATTCAAAACGAAATGAAAATGGGGATGTAATATATGGAGGTCGTGCTGATTCTAAAGGCCACGATTATATGAAGCTGCCAAGCGTGCTATGCAGAAAATGGAGCCAGTTTGAGCATCCAGATTCACTCGACACTTCCGACAGATGCCACTCTCAAGAACTATCTTGGCACTTTATCAAGGAGAAGAAATGGCAGCCAAGAGAAATAATTTGGTATGTCTGAAATATTAGAACCAGAAATTACATCAAGATTTTGTTCACGATATCTACTCTAAGCTCTTTGCAGATCACATGGCATCGGTTAGCGGTTTTAATACAATGTTGCATGAAGAATCATGTAATCATATGGATTCTAATGATTCATTTCAATATAAAATTATAGAAAGATGGAGAATTTTTGGTTATGAATTTAACAAGTTTATCTGTCAAATTATAAATATGAATTGTTGGATCTCTGCATTGAACTTCAATAAATTGGAGGCTGAAAAGTTTAGGTTTCGTCTGTAATGGTAGCCATTACATCACTGAAGAGAGGCAACTGGCATGGATTGACTATTTTGAACCATGTTACTTGGGTTGAGTCTCGGATATTAGTATATGTCTGGCAAGGGTATGTGATTGTTCTTTGAAGCTTGTCCATGTACTCAAAAGGTCTTTGGAGGACCATATCCTATACGCATCCTGGATATGCATCAGGCACGAGTGTCGGACACAATTACTTCAAGAGCAACATAGATCTTAAAAATATTTAAATAGATAGAAGTATAAATTTTTCTGTAAATTTAACAGGAAACTGCCTTTCATACCCACAGCTCCTTCTTTTTCTTGTTAGAACTGAAAGAAAATGAAGAAAAAGGGCCTATTTTCACCTATGCCTCTAAACTCAAATCAAAAGATATCTTCAAATCAATTTCTTTAGAAAATCTGTAGTTTGATTAAGGAAACTGCCTTTCATACCCAGCTCCTTCTTTTTCTTGTTAGAACTGAAAGAAAATGAAGAAGGGCTATTTTCACCTATGCCTCTAACTCAAATCAAAAGATATCTTCAAAGCAATTTCTTTAGAAAATCTGTAGTTTGATTAAATTATGTTATTATCGTTGTTCTTGACAGGACTACGAGACTAGAGGAAGAAGATTGAATTCTCGGGTCCCTTGTTGTCTCAATCTCGTAAGAGTCAATGAACTGTTGGAGCGAAACGAATGACATATCCGCCAAGCAACCCAAAAGTCATGGTTCCAAAGAGGTAAACACAAAAGAAAAACCGAAACAACTTTTGCACCAACCCCGTTTCATCTCTAATATAATGATTTCTGTTGCCATCCACTCTAGTTTAATCCCTGCCTTTCATTTACCCTGTTGCCATTGTTGTTTGCTGCCTTTATGAATTGGTTGAGATTAATATGCCATTGATTTAGTTTCATTAAATGAAGAAATTGTGAGACAATTATTTACTTTTATAATGGCTGTTGTGTTGTGGTGTGTTGTATATCTTCTTCTCAACCACTTTATGTTGGCCTGAATAACACCATCTAAAGCAACCATGAGATAGAAACTTGATCAATTATGAAAGTTGTATCTGCTTAAAGGTTTTTTCTTCTTTTGCCCCCACTAAATTATTTCTCAGTAAATCGACGTTGAACAAGATTAGAAGTTGTAAGAATTGAATGTGGCTATATTCAATGCTTTTACGTATTTGGAGAGTATTCAGAGAGTATTCGGAGAATAATATCCCATAACTCGAAGAGTCCGAAGCAACAGGGTTTGTTTATACTAATAATTTGCATGCATTGCAAGTAGAAACACGGGAAGTAATCTTTGGACACTTAAAAGTCACAAGTTGCTGTACATGGAATGACCCTTCAATCATACTGTTGAAAACATTTTTGATATTTTGATATAGCAAATTAAGTTAAATGAATTTTAATATTTCCAAAAGATTTTCTAAGTATATTCGATATAATTATTCGAATATCAAAATAATACTCCAAATCTTTCAAATGTCATTTTAATCCTTACTCAAGTGTAAAATTAAGTTTTAATCTTAAAATAATTTCAAAACGATTTACAAATATTTCGAACCATCTCAAAGCCAAAATTCCAGATTGCTCAGAGGGAACCGATTCCCTCCAAGGGGGTACCGATTCCCCCCTTAATGGTTGGCTCCGAGAATTCCTGTATGCTCGGAGGGAACCGATTCCCCCCAGGAGTACCGATTACCCCCTGTGTAACGGTCGAAATATTTGAATTTTACACTTAGGGAACCGATTCCCCCATGCTCCAAACTGTTTTATAAATTGATTTCACACTAAAACGACTATATTATCTTCATTAATGACCCCCAACGTTCAGAAGTGATTCAATGTGTATTTAAGCAAGCTTAGAAGCCATTGATCAATAACAAGAAACATCAAGCAACTAGAATCAAGAGAGAATCAAAGAGAAAGCATCAAACCTCAAGTTTGAGCATTTCAAGCCTATTTTTTCATTTAATATCATTTTGCTTTCAAGAACACTTATTGTGCTCAATTGTATTCATTCTTGAGTGTTCTTCTTTGTTCTAGAATTGTGCAACAATATATTGTGAGAATTTCCTTGTAAGTTTACAAATTTGTATTGTTCTCTTTGGGAGAGAGTGTTCTCAAGAATTTGGGGTATAATTCTTGAGGGTTTGTAAGGTTACTCTTTGTCCTCAAAAGAAAGAGGAATTTGTGGAAAATCCTTAGTGGGATAGCTAAGGTAGTGGACGTAGACTTTGGTTTAGAAAGTCGAACCACTCTAAATCGCTGTGCAATTTCTTTCAATTTTCTGTAAAAGCTTCCACCAAAATTTTTATTGCCAATTCACCACCCTCTTGGCCTTCCGTCAATCGATTAACTCAATAATTGGTATCAGAGCCTAACTCATTTTAAGGTTTAATCGCCTCTTGAGTAGATTCGGGAAGAGTTTACATCGATATCAAAGTCATCAATGGCCTACTTCAAACTTCGACTCCGGTCTCGATTCGATGCCCGTCAACAAGCCTCCTTTCTTGGGGCTGATTATGCCTATTGGAAAAATAGGATGATGTACTTCATTAAGCAAGTGACATGGGAGCATGGAATGTCGTAGAAGAATGATACATCAAGCCTCTCACTCATCCAAGATTATGGAGTGAAAGAGAGACAAAAATGTTCCAGCTCAACTCCAAAGCTATCCATAATATTTTGTGCTCTTGGACCAGATGAATACGGAAGAGTTTCATCTTGTACAACCGCTAAAGAAATATGGGACAAACTTCAAGTCACTCATAAAGGTACTGATGAGGTAAAGAAATCTAAAATTAGTATTCTAACACATAGCTATGAAAATTTCAGGATGAAACCAAATGAAGATATCAAAGCTATGATGGATAGATTTTCAACGATTGTCAATGGTCTCAAATCATATGGAGAGATCATTTCAAATGAAAAGCTTATGAGGAAGTTAGTCTACTCCCTCCCAAAATCGTGGCAATCAAAGAAGATGGCAATCATCGAGTCTAAGGATCTAACATCCTTAACTCTTAAAGCTAATCGGTTCACTCCTCACTCATGAAATGATGCTTGAAGATGAGGTGGACCTTGGTAAGATTGAAGAGACACCAAAGGAGAAGGAGAAGAAGAAAACATTAGAGTTGCTCTCAAATCCACAAAAAATGAGAGTGATTTGGATGAAGATGACGATGACGAGGAAATGGAATTGTTTGCCAAACGGTTCAGAAAAATGATGAGACCTTACCGAGGAAAATTCAAACGAAATGAAGGCCTAAAAATGAACCAAAGAGAAGGACCCGATCATTTGCTATGAATGCAAAAAGCCGGGGCATGTCAAATATGATTGCCCACAACTGAAGAGAAAGGGTCAATAAAAAAAATAAGCACAAGGCTCATATGGATACATGGAGCGATGAAGAAGGTTTCGATGAAGAGGAACAAGAAGTAGCAAACTTGTGCTTGATGGCATTCGGGGAAGATTCTAAGGTAACCTCTAACTCATCTGATTTTGATGATTTATCCTATGATGAGTTATTAGAGGAATATAATGGGTTGGCTATGGATTATGAGAAATTGTTTTTAAAATATAAAAATGATGTTTCAAAATTGAAAAATGAAAATAAACTCATATCCAAAACCAACAACGATTTTGAAAGTAAAATCAAAGATTTGCAAATCAAACTAGAAGGGTTTGAAAAGAAAAATTTGGATTTGCAAAATTTACTTTCAAAGGTCAATGATGATCATCAAAAGAAATTGATGATCTTAAAACTTCTTTTGATAAAGTTGGAACAAAACGTTTTGAAAATGGAGAAAATTCAAATCCAACTTTGTTAGAAAACGTTTTAAAAACTACAATCATAGAGGTCCCCAAAGAACCTCTAATGAAAAAATCGTTAGAAGTGTATGGGTTCCTAAAGAGCTCATTACTACTAAAGATAAGGATATTCTACACAAATGGATACCTAAGGGGACTAGGATTTTGGAAACTAATGAATATGGACCCAAAAGAATTTGGGTACCAAAATTAGAATTAATCTATGTTTGTAGGAAAAGGAGCATTGCTACAAGGCACGGGAAACAAATCCAAATTCATGGTACCTTGATAGTGGATGCTCAAGACACATGACCGGAGACAAAAACCAGTTCATTGAGCTTAACGCCAAAATGGAGGAGAAGTGACTTTTGGTGATGATTCAAAAAGTCACATTGAAGGTATTAGTACTATTGGTAATACCTCTTCCATACAAATTAAGAATGTTTTATATGTGAATGGATTAAAGCATAATCTATTGAGTATTAGTCAATTTTGTGATAAGGGATTCAATGTCATGTTTGATATTAATGGTTGTAAAGTCATTGACATTGCATCTAATCGGATTATGCTTGTTGGTCATAGAATAAGAAACATATACATGGTGCACTTAGATTCTATTGATATGACAATTTGTGCCTAGTTGCTAAGGATGAACATGATAGTTGGTTATGGCATAGGAGACTAAGACATGCTAGTATGAGTGTTTTGCAACGACTAACTCAAGGTGATTTAGTTTAAGGGTTGCCTAAGCTTAAATTTGATAATGATAAAATATGTGATGCTTGTGCTAAAGGAAAAAAAACGAGTTTCTTTTAAATCCATTAATGACGTATCAACTAGTAGAGTATTACAATTGATCCATATAGATCTTTTTGGGCCAACTAGGACTACTAGCTTGGGTGGAAAACAATATGCATTTGTCTTGGTAGATGACTATTCTAGATATACTTGGGTTCTATTCTTAAGTACTAAAGATGAAGCATTAGAAAATTCATCACATTTTCAAAAGTAATCCAAAACGATAAAGGTTACTCTAACTAGTGTTAGGAGTGATCATAGCACTAATTTGAAAATTTTGGATTTACTGATTTTTGTAATTCTAATGGTATTAGTCACAATTTTTCAACACCTAGAACCCCTCAACAAAATGGATTGTTGAGAGGAAAAATCGAACTTTAGAAGAATGGCTAGAACCATGCTTTGTGAAAATAATTTGCCAAAATTTTTGGGCAGAAGCCACAAATACCGCTTGTTATTGTAAATCGAGTAATGAATAGGCCAATTTTAAAAAAAAACTCCATATGAAATTTTTAAAATAAAAACCTAACATTAGTTATTTTCATCTTTTTGGATGTAAATGTTTTGAACAACGGTAAAGAAAACCTTAGCAAATTTGATGCTAAAAGTGATGAAGGAATTTTTCTGGGTTATTCCTTAAATTCTAAAGCTTATCGAGTATTTAATAAAAGAACTTTAGTTGTAGAAGAGTCTATACATGTTGTTTTCGATGATAATCCCTGTAATATCCCAAATAACGGGTTAGTGACTAAATTGTAAAAATTCAGAATTTGGTGATTAAAGTAGAATAATTAAATAGTTTAAAATAATTGTTAGTAAATATGAAATGAATTAAAGGATAAAATGGTCATTTATAAGGAAAAATAATTAAAAATTTGGATGGGTTTATATTAACCCACGTGGAAGAGGATAGGAAGGCAAAATTTGTTCAAGAGTTCATTTTCTCTTCTTCTCCTTGTTTTCCTCTTCTTCACGTTGGCTTTGGCTACAAAGGTAAGTTTGATTTTTATGGTTAATTTCTGGAATTTTAAAGAGGGTTTTGATTCTTTGGGTGTTAATTAAGCTTAAGGAAAGCTTAATTTGTTATAAAACAACAAGATAAATGTTTTAGAGATAGATTTGAAAAATGGGTTTTCAGATGAAATTTTGATATGGATGAGTTTTTGAAGTTTGAATAAGATTTTTGACTTGTCAATAAGTTAATTAAGGAATGGAGTTTAGTGATCAATAACATGTTTGAAATTTGGGTATGATTATTGGTTTTAAGAATTTGAATGAAGTTTTGGAAATAATAAAGTGTGATTTGATAGAAGTAAGTTAAAATGGTTGTAGTTAAGTTTGATAGTATGAAAGGAACTTTGTATGGGAAACTTTAGTGAAGAATTGGTGATTTTCGGGTTTGAACAGTAAAATTTCAGATTATGCAGAGGGAACCGATACCCCCTGGGGGGAATCGATTCCCCCTAAAAGAAAATGTTGAAGTTTGGTTTATTAAATTAGTTTAAGTTGTTAGTATCAAATTACAAGGATTAGGATTCTGATAAATATCAATGAAAATTATGTTTATGTGATATAAACAAATTCATTCTGATAATTATTATGATACATGCATAAGGTATATATGCTCATATGATTTGATAAATGATATATGTGATAAATTCAAATGTATATGTGATATGAAGTGACATGAGCACATGAACATATGAATTATAAGAATGATGCCATAGTATATGATATGAGAGCTAGGTATAGTTGGCATGCCAAGAGTCGAGGGTTTATAGGTCTTGGGACAACTCATAGGTTCTTCGGGACATATTCACAGGTCCTTTGGGACAAAATTTCATATGCCACTCAGTGGGACTTATACGAGCTGTGGTGACAGCAATAGTGCACAACCTCAATGTACTCGAATACCTTGAGTTCTCAGTAATGTACATGGGCTTATAGAATGTTATCAAAGGTAATTGCATTATTATTGTTATATGTTATATTGAATGGATAGATCACATGTTCATATTTATAAGGAATAGATCATCATTATATTTATATGCCTCACTAAGTCTATGACTTAGCGTGTAAGTGATTTACACGTAGGTACAGAAAAGTAAGAAGATCGATCTTAAGAGCAGCAACGCAGCATACCATCATTAGGGGATCAAATCAGAAGTAAACAACAAAGTATGTATTTTAGTTGTATAAAGTATGTTGGCATGTAATAAGTTGTTAGTTACGAACACTCTGATCGACTTTTCTAATGTTTTGAATGTAATTATGTAAGTGTATATAATGAACGGTTGAATTTTTACGAATTTATGTACATTTTTACGGTAGCAGTACTGTAGCAGTATGTAGCAGGGGAATCGGTTCCCTGTAGCAGGGGAATCGATTCCCTATTTGTAAACTGGGAAATTTAACATTTCGGGTACTGTAGCAGGTTACTGTTCACGGTACTGTAGCAGATTATTGTTTATACGTATTTTATTATTCGCAAATACATTTTTTTATCTCAAATTTTATACTGAATATAATTTAATAATATTATCTTATTTTCCTAAAATAAGTTCAAATATTTTGTTATTTTATAAGGAAATTATTTTAAAAAGGTAAGTCACATCTGGACTCGTACCGGGTCGGGTACGGGTTAGGGGTGTTACATTTAATGGCATCAGAGCAAGGTTTAGTCGATTCTCGGCATAAACCGGAATCTATAGTGTTTTATAATGTATACATGCCAACAAAATAGTTAAAACTTCTGATCTGGTATGGTAATGAGTATGTTAATTTGCTAATAGAATGATATGTTTATTTTTAATAGATGTCCGGACATGATAGTTCTCGATGTCAAGGGAGATGATCAACCCGCTGAAAGTAGTAATTCACCTGCCCTGGCCAGGCAAGGTGAAGAACATATACCTTCTAGAGTACCTGTAGCTAATCAATATATGTTTTTAGAACGTTAGATGCAGTATTGACGCGTTTCCAACCTCCTGTTATTTCAACTCCAAAATGAATGTTGCAAAGGAGTTGAAGGGTTTAGGAGCTCCAGAGTTTAAAGGTGAAGCCGATGAAGGCCCGGTTGCTGCGGACCTTTGGCTTAATGATGTGAAAATTATGTTAGAAGGACTCCACTGTTCTGATGTGGAGAAGTTGGACGGGGTGGTCTCTTTGCTTCGTGGGCAAGCGAGAATTTGGTGGACAAATGTCACTTTGAGGATGACCAGTGATCAAGTGACATGGTCTCTGTTCCTGGAAGAGTTTCGGCATAAGTATATAGGAGACCAATTCATCAAGCAAATGAAGCAAGAATTTTTAAATTTGAAACAAATGAATCGCACTGTATATGAGTATGAGTGCGAATTTAATAAGTTAAGTCGCTTTGCAGCAGAGTTGGTGCCTACAGAGAAAGATTCCTGTGAGTGGTTTGTTGAGGGCTTGCGTCCAAGGCTAAAAGAAATATTGATTGTATTGAATCGGTCCTCATTCCAAGAAGTAGTAAATTGTGCTAAAGCTCTAGAGAGAGCGCAGAATGAACGGTTTGGGGAGCAGAGCTCTACCATCCAAAAGAATTGGAGCTTCATCAAGCTCTACACTACCAATAGAGGTAGAGATTTTGGTTTTCGATATCAAACAAGATCTGAATCAGTGGCATCCTCTGCTAGAGGATCGAATCAGGAAAGAGCTAGACGAACTCAATCTGTGGGACTGGTGAGGGGCGAGCACAACAGAGTCAAGTTGGGCAGTGTCAGATCTGTGGAAGAAACCATAGTGGAATATGCAGAGTTAAAACAGGAGCTTGTTTTCGATGTGGGGAAACAGGACATTTTATGAGAGACTGTCCTTTGAGGGTAGAAGAGTCTGTTCCACAGGAGAGGTCTGCTTCAATGTCCCAGAGGGGACGGGGTAGAGGAAGAGGTAGAACTCAACATGAATCCTCTACTCAGCAGGAAGTTCGCTCTACTGCTCGGGTGTATAATCTCAAAACCAATGAAGACTGGGATGATCCAGAGATAATAACAGGTACCTTTTTACTGTTTGATAAACATGTTATGGTATTGATTGATCCGGGTCTACATACTCATACATTAGTAGCAAGTTAGTTAGAGAACTGAACATTCCGCTAGAAGCCACTAATAATGAAGTAATAGTGACAAATCCATTAGGGCATAGTGCTAGTGTGAATTTGGTATGTCGAGGATGTCCCATACGGATTCAGGAAATTGAATTCCCTGCTAATTTGATGGAATTACCCTTCGATGAATTTGAAGTGATACTGGAATGGATTGGTTGTTTCGTTATTATGGGAATATGGATTGTAGATTGAAAAGAGTAACGTTGAAAAGTCCGGAAGGGGTAGAAGTCGTGGTGTTTAGTGAAGGGTGGAATCCATTGGCAAATGTAATCTCCGCGATAACGACAAAGAAGTTACTGTTACAGGGATGTCAAGGGTTCATTGCTAATGTGTTGGATATTAGAACCAAGGAGAAAAGAATTGAAGAAATTCCTATAGTCACAGCGTTTCTCGATATATTTCCTGCAGAATTACCAGGTTTGCCTCCCAACAGAGAGGTAGAATTCCAGATTGAAATAATGCCTGGAACTGCACCTATTACTATGGCTCCATACAGAATGGATCCAAAAGAATTGCAAGAGTTAAAGATACAGTTAAAGGAGTTGTTAGATAAAGGATTTATAAGACCAAGTGTCTCACCGTGGGGAGCTCCGGTGTTGTTCGTCAAAAAGAATGATGGATCAATGCATCTTTGCATTGATTATAGACAACTTAATAAGGTGACCATCAAGAACAAATATCCACTTCCCCGAATTGACGATCTGTTTGATCAATTAAAAGGAGTTCAGTGTTCTCGAAATTGATTTACGTTCTGGTTATCATCAATTAAAGATTCAAGACAAAGATATCCCAAAGACGGCATTTAGAACGAGATATGGTCACTATGAGTTTATTGTGATGTCGTTTGGAGTTACTAATGCACCAGCTGCTTTCATGGATCTCATGAACAGAATATTCCAACCCTATTTAGATCAATTTATAGTGGTATTTATTAATGATATTCTCGTGTATTCAAAGTCCAAAGAAGAACATAGTTCACACTTGAAGAAGGTGTTACAGATTTTGAGAAAAAATAAGCTTTATGCCAAACTCTCCAAATGTGAATTCTGGTTGAAGGAAGTGGCTTTCCTTGGACATGTGATTTCTGCAGAAGGAATTCGAGTGGATCCCCAAAAGATTAAAGCTATTTTAGAATGGGAAGTTCCAAAGAATGTGTCAGAAGTCTGGAGTTTTCTGGGGTTAGCTGGTTATTACCGAAGATTCGTTAAAAACTTTTCGATAATAGCATTACCCCTAACCAAGTTATTGAGGAAAGAGGTAAAATTTTCTTGGACTCCAGAATGTCAGGAAAGTTTTGAAAATTTAAAGAAGATTTTGACAGAAGCTCCTGTGTTGGTTCAACATGAGTCTGGCAAGAATTTTATGGTTTATAGTGATGCGTCCCATAATGGCTTGGGATGTGTGTTGATGCAAGAAGGCAAAGTGGTGGCATATGCGTCAAGACAATTGAAGTCACATGAGAAAAACTATCCAACGCATGATTTGGAGATGGCTGTAGTAGTATTTGCTCTTAAGATTTGGCGTCACTACTGTAGCAGATTATTGTTTATACGTATTTTATTGTTCGTAAATACATTTTTTTATCTCAAAATTTTATACTGAATATAATTTAATAATATATTATCTTATTTTCCTAAAATAAGTTCAAATATTTTGTTATTTTATAAGGAAAATTATTTTAAAAAGGTAATGTCACATCTCGGACTCGTACTCGGGTTGGGTACGGGTTAGGGGTGTTACAATCCCCTTCCGAGGAAGGATTCTTGTGTTAACGATGATGTAGGGATTATAAATAAATGACATTAGACATGACGTTGGAGAATCATCATCAAAGGAATAAACGAAAGATGAGGAAACTCATGATCCCCTCGAGAATCCAACCATTGAAGAAAGGGAAGTATCTTATCCAATAGAGTACAACTATGTCAAGGATGGTGAGATTATAGTGATCCATCCAAAGGGGTAACAACTCGATCTTCTCTTAGAAATATTTGTAATTATGTTGCATTTATTTCATGCATAGAGCCTAAGAATATTAAAAAGCATTAAAGATGAACATTGGATTATGGCTATGCAAGAAGAATTAAATCAATTTGAGAGAAGCAAAGTATGAACATTAGTTGAAAGGCCTAGTAATAAATCTACTGTAGGTACTAGATGGGTATTTAGGAATAAGCTTGATGAGAGTGGTAATATAGTGAGAAATAAGGCTAGACTTGTTGCTCATGGGTATACTCAAGAAGAGGGCATAGACTATGATGAAATATATGCTCCCGTAGCTAGGATGGAAGCAATTAGAATGTTATTAGCATTTGTATGTTTTCATGAATTTAAATTATATCAAATGGATGTTAAAAGTGCATTTTTAAATGGTTTTATAAAGGAAGAAGTGTATGTGGAACAGCCTCCAGGTTTTGAAGATTCAAAATTTCCTGATCATGTTCTTAAATTGACAAAAGCGCTTTATGGTTTAAAAAGCTCCTAGAGCTTGGTATGAAAGATTGTCAAATTTTTTAATTGAAAAAGGTTTTTCAAAAGGGAAGGTTGACACTACATTGTTTTTAAAGCACAAAGGTAAAGATTTATTAGTAGTTCAAATTTATGTTGATGATATAATATTTGGTTCTACTAATGATGTTCTTTGCCAAGAATTTTCTAAGTTAATGCAAAGTGAATTCGACATGAGCATGATGGGGGAGCTCTCATTTTTCTTGGGACTTCAAATCAAGCAAAGAAAAGATGACATCTTCATCAATCAAGCTAAATACGTCAAAGACATGCTTAAGAAGTTTAGATTGAAAATGGCAAACCTCATGACACTCCAATGAGCTCTTCAACAAATTGACTTAGATAAATGAGGTAAATGTGTAGATGTTAAATTATATAGGTCAATGATTGGATCTCTACTTTATCTAACTGCAAGTAGACCAGACATTATGTTAGTGTTTGCTTATGTGCTAGATTTCAATTATGCCCTAAGGAATCACATTTACTAGTTGTTAAGAGAATCTTTAGATACCTTAAGGACACTCCTAGTTTAGGACTTTGGTATCCTAGAGAATCTAGCTTTAGCTTGCATGCCTTTTCTGATGCAGATTATGGAGGATGCAAATTAGATAGGAAAAGCACCTCTGGTACTTGCCAATTCCTTGAAAATATGCTAATTTCTTGGTTTTCAAAGAAACAAAATTGTGTTGCATTATCTACCACTGAAGCCGAATACATTTCAGCTGGCAGTTGTTGTGCACAAGTTTTATGGATGAAACAACAACTTTTTGATTATGGAATTGAAGTAGGTACCATTCCTATCAAGTGTGACAATACTAGTGCTATTTGTCTCACTAAAAATTCCATCCAACACTCTAGAACTAAGCACATTGAAATAAGACATCACTTCATTAGAGACCATGTCACTAAGGAAGATGTAGTTCTAGAATTTGTTGATACTTTGCACCAATTAGCGGATATCTTTACAAAACCTTTAGACAAGGAAAGATTTTGGACACTTAGGAGAGAATTAGGTTTGACCAACCTATCTTCACTTAGTGTTTAAAATAATTTTAGCACTCTTAAGACTAAATGAAAAATGCTTAATTTTTGATTGCATTCATTGCTATTAGTTAGGGGGTTTATGATTCTTGATGAAAAATTAATTTTATGTTCAAATATCGTTTAAAGAATAATTTGATTGTTTGAACATGATTAATTTTCAATATATGAGTTGCCAATACCACTAGAGAAAATTAATTTAGCATTTTGTGTGTTTAAAATCGGATTTTAGCATTTTGGTGCAGAGGGAATCGATACCCCTATGAGGGAACCGATTCCCCCTTTGAAGGGGAACCAATTCCCCCTTTAAAGGGGAACCGATTCCCTCCACAGGGGAATCGATACCCCCTGGGGTTCTGGATTTTTACACGGGTAGAACCCTTAAAACCTCAAACCCTCTTCTTCTCTCATTCATGCCATTTCTACTCTTATACTCTCTCCTTATCTCTATTTTGACTCAAATCAACGATTTTAATTGAAATTCACTTCAAATATCATCTTCTAAACCTGCTAGCATCATTAAAATTGTGCAAACAACATCAAAATCCACTCAATCTCATCTTTCAAGGTAAAATTTTCTAAACTCTATATTTCATTGATTTTGAACATAGAACTAGTTTTAATTAGTTCTAGGTAGAAATAGTGATCGGGCATTGATTGTTTAGTGATTAGAAACTAGATATTACAACTAATTTCATCAAAAACACAAGAAATTTCCAAAATATTTGAAATTTTCGAAATAATAAAAAAAATGTTTTTCAAATTATTGTGTTTTGATTGAATTTTGTTGTTGTTATGAAAACTACACATATATTGTTTTTCAAAATCTTATTTTTCAATAGTTTTAAAAAACTTTGCCCATTAGGATTGAATTAGAGAACCTTGAAATATTGAGGACTCAATTGAGTTTTGGGATTGATTGAATTACATACATGTATTTTCTAAATTACAGGTTATCCATTCTATTCCGATTTCCTAAACCATGTCCAATCCTAAACGTGCTAGGTCATCATCTAGTCGCTCACACCGTCAACCAAATCCACCTCCAAATCCTCCTCCTATTCCTGAAATTCCAATTCCTAATCCTAATCCAGTTGATCCCAATATAACGATCCAAAACTCGTGCTTCAATCATCCTGGTCCTAGAAATCATCGTTTTTGGTATTATCAATATTTCGACTCTTACAAAATTATAGAAGAACGTATCCCTTCTCGTCAAGCTATGTTAGATATTAATTTTAAATATCTTCCTCTTTTACAAGAGTGGAAATTTGATAAACTCTTTGAGCTTGAACCCATTGTCTACCATCAACTTGTTCGTATCTTCTATTCTAATGCAGTTTGTGTTAAAACCGAACTGAAACCGAAACCATAGGAGTTCGTTCCTACCTCCTAGGACAATTCTATATATTGACTCGGCTTACATAGTCAATGCATTCGGATTAGATAATGATGGTATTTCAAATGAAAAACAAATCTTAGGATCTCGTTATAAAAGAAGGGATAGTGCAAGTGTCTTAGACCTTCATGAACGTTTTCTTCATCTAATGATTTCTTGGTGGTTTCGACCATCCGGAGGTCGTTATTCTACTCTTAGAGCCTTGGATCTTTGGTGGTTACATTGATTCGAAAACAGTTTTAAAATAAACCTACCTTAGATCATTTTTGCTGAAATTGTTGAAACCGTAAATCTTGTTCCTAACAAGAAACTCTGTTCATCTCTAGTTTACGTTGCATTTTGAGTAATCTATTTTCTAAAGCTGAGCTTAGAGTAGCTCTAGATGCCTCCTTTCCTCTAAAGAAACAAATTAAT